ATAAAGGACCTTGCAAATCGTATACATGAGTTAAATATTGCTTTATCTCCAGAGATGCAGAAGATGGAAGAACATGTAATAATGGAGGATTTCAATTTGTGTGGTTCACTCACAGTAACAATTTGTTAAAAGACAACGTTCTTCATTGGTAAAATATCAAGTGGTGAGATGCACTTTCAAACCAAATAGTTCAGTAATAGTAACTATGTTCAGACTTGAGAGATATCAGTGAAGACTGATGCCAAACACCTGAACCAGAATATGAATCACCCATAATTTTGTGGGATAAGTCTCTCTAATATTATTATACTTACAGGAGAAATTCTGAAATTTGCCTAAATTCAGAATCCCGGAAGCTAGAAAAATATCCCAATAATTGAATGTAGAAGATGGTCTAAAGTAGGAAAGGTGTATTATGGGGGAATAAAGGGGGAAAATGATATACCATAGGATCCAAAGCATAAGGAAGCTAAATGTGTTGTGGCAAAAGAATGGATCATATCCACGAAAATATATTCAAGTACAAGTGGAGTGATTCAGATCATCTCTAGCAACATAATATTCAGAAATGCAACTTGATGTCTTCTGGCTCAAGGATTTCAGATCATTGGTTCTCTGCCATATCTGATCATAATCAGGGGAGCTTTTTAAAAAAGCACCTGCACCCTCAACCCTACCAAATTTTTATATGCCCAGGAATGAGATGGCAAAAATATGCCAAAGGACATGAATCTGCTCCCTCACAGAGGTGATTCTGATACAATCTACCTCCATATGCATGCCCTTAAACATCAGATCACCACATCTGCAGGCATTTTAAATTATACCAAATTTTGGCCTGAAGATTTATTTTATATTGTAATACTGCCTCAAGTAATGACTTTGGACACAAGGGCTGAAGGATCCGATTTACATAAATCCTCAAAATATTATATGTGGTAATTTATCTTTACCAAACATCTGAACATATTGCACTTGACATAACAGAAAGAAAAAGCAGTTTGAGTATTACACCAATATTTATATTTTTACATTATTCTAAGCTTGATTTGTTTTGAGTTATTCTTTTTTTCTTTTAAGTATTTTAACCATATGAAAAAATGTAAAGAGTTAACTTCTGGGCAGCTGTGTACCTACCATGTAACTTTCTCAAGCCTTTATAATATTCTATCCATCGGGTATTTAATCCCTAAAAATAAAATATGCAAAAGCTGGAAATGAAAAAAAATCCCCTAAACACTACTTTTATCATTTTCAAAAATCACTTAATTTTAGACACAAATTTATAAAAGAATTATATCATATGCTAGCTTTCTGACACTTAGGGGGCTTTTGGTTTGATTTTCTTGCCAGTATATAAAATCCAAAGCATCCCAGCAAAAACACAGTAGTTATAGTATTCCAATATTTAAAATCATTACATTTTCTCATTTATAATACTTCTAATAGATGTTTTACTTCTCTATTATTAGAATATAGCATTTTTCTTTCTTTAGGTCATCTGTCTTTGCGTAATTTCAATATACTTTAGTATCGAATTTTTCATGTGTTTGAATGGGCAGATAAAAACAGATATAGTCATCCTTAAGGTCAAACACATATGGGTATCTGAAAAGTACTATAAAAACTGGTTTCATATTAAATAATTTTGTGTACTGCAAAGTTAGTCTCTATATCTGACTAGTAACCCACCTTATAAAAATCAAATTTATCAACTATCAATAATAAAAGGATAAAATAGTACAGATAATAAGCCACAACCCAAAATAACACTCTCCTCCTATTATTTCAGCCAAGTTTTTCAACCAATTATATTCTTTGTTGTTGCTGTTAATCCTCACCTGAGGATACTTTTTCCATTGATTTTTAGAGAGTGTGGTAGGGAGAGGGGGAAGAAGAGAGAGAGAGAAAAATATCAATGTGAGAGAGACACATTGATGGGTTGCCTCCCACATGCACCCCAACTGGGGTGGGGGATCTAACCTGCAACCCAGATGCCCTTGACTAGGAAGCGAACCTAAGACCCTTCAGTTCGTGGGCTGATGCTCTAACCACTGTGCACCAGAGCTCAACCAGTTATGTTCTTAGGAGAAACTCTCCTTTAAAGAACTGCAAATCAGGTAAAAAAGAAAAATAACTTTAAATCATTCATTCAACAAATATTTATTAAGCACTTACTACACTAAGTGCTGGGCCTAGGCACTCTGTTAGATGGTCAGGTTAAGATGCAGTGTCTGATTTCAAGCGACTCAGAGACTATTTCAAAGGTCATGTCCCGGTTTATGACTCCAACCACCATCCATACAACAAATATTTCTTGAGAGCCCACTACATGCTAATCACTGTTCTAGGTAATGGAGATAAAGTAGTAAACAAAACAAAGTCCTTGCTCTTACAAATCTTCCATTATAGTGCGGGGAGACAAGCAAATCAATAAAAACACACATCAAGCCCTGGCCGGTTTGGCTCAGCGGTTAGAGCGTCCGCCTGCGGTCCGGAGAGACCCGGGTTTGGTTCCCGCTAGGGGCATGTACCTTGGTTGCAGTTTGTCCCCGGCCCTGGTTGGTCGTGTGGGTGGCAGCCACTCGATGTGTCCCTTTCACATCGATGTTTCCCTCTCTCTCTCTTCCTCTCTCTCCCTCCCACTCTGTCTGTACAGAAAATGGAAAAATGTCCTCGGGTGAGGATAAAAAAAAAAAAAAACACACATCAAGTGGCAAAAAAAAGCTACAAAGAAAAATATATCAGAGTAAAAAGACAAAAGGGCAGCAATTTTATATAGGGTAAATTCATATTAAAGACACATCCTGTGAGCAAACCTTTTATTTATGCTGTCAATTAACTGACATCTTGAAAGGCACCAATGTAACTTAACTTCACCAAATTAAACAAATTTTCCCAGTCTCTGCCGACCACCTCCATTTTGAAATCCTACTGGTTTATATGGCAAATTTCCTATCTATGTTCTTCACTTTAGCCAGTAGGGTGGTATCAATATAAGCTTCACAATTACATCTAGGATTTAATTAAGATCACCTCCTATCCAGCCAAGGGAAATAAACTTTAATTGCATTGGAATTGGACAGCACCTTGAGAAAAGATTTAGTTTCCAATAGTTTTTAGAAGCTTATATAACAATATAATGACATTTACTCAAGGCACTGAAAAGAAACATCAAAAACAAACCCTTGTACAACATGTTACATTTTATAAAGCCCTTTCACAGTTTATTCATTTAATCCTCACAAAGTGATAATATCCTGTGAGGAAGGCAGTATCTCCACACTGAAACACTTCAAATTTTGCTATGCATAACAAGCACAGTGAGGAGGATTAAAGAGAAAATGATTGCTACTTTAAAAAATCTTCGGTAAGACAATGTTCCAAAATTAAATTTCACATTATAGGTTTTGTCCTGTACTATTCCTTACGCAAATCATTTAATCTACTAAAATCAAAATCCTAATTTTCAAGAAGACATCATTAAAATTAGATTTCAATAACTATCATTTATTTTTCTTTAATATTTGAAAACTGCTTAAAAGTATAATGAAAAGCATAAACATCTATAATCCCAATATTCAAAAAAACATTAGCTAATATTTGATATTTCTTTCTGCCAATTCCTATTAATTTTAATAGTTATTAAATTGTTCCATACTAACAAGAATATTCATATTCTCTAAAAAAGTTTTCTTTTGCCCTGGCCGGTTTGGCTCAGCAGTTAGAGCGTTGGCCTGCGGTCCTGAGAGACCCGGGTTCGGTTCCCACTAAGGGCGCGTACCTCGGTAACAGTTTGTCCCCGGCTCTGGTTGGGTTGTGTGGGTGGCAGCCACTCGATGTGTCCCTTTCACATCGATGTTTCTCTCTCTCTCTCTGTTCCTCTCTCTCCCTCCCACTCTGCCTGAACAAAAAGTGGAAAAATGTCCTCGGGTGAGGATAAAAAAAAAAAAAAAGTTTTCTTTTGTTGTTGTTGTTGTTAATCTTCACCTGAGGATATTTTTTCCACTGATTTATTTTTTTAGAGTGAGTGAAAGAAAGAGAGGGAGAGAGAAACATTGATGTGACAGAGACACATCGATTGGTTGCCTCCTGCACATGCCCTGACTGGGGCTGGGGATCAAACCTGCAACCCCGGTACGTGCCCTTGACCAGCAATCAAACCTGCAACCCTTCAGTTCTTGGCTAACATTCTAACCACTGAGTCACACCATCTAGGACAACTTGCTTTTTTTTTTTAATGCTCACTTGAGGATATTTTTCCATTGATTTTTAGACAGAGTGGGAGGGAAGGAGAGAGAGAAAGAGAGAGAAACATTGACGTGAGAGAAATACATTGATTGGTTGCCTCTTGTACAGCCCTGACCAGGGCTGGGGATCAAACCCTCAACTGAGGTACATGTCCTTGACTGGTAATCGAATCTGAGACCCGTTGGTCCATGGGCCGATGCTCTAACGACTGAGCCAAACCAGCCAGGACAGCTTGCTTTTTATTTTAGAAAATAAAAAGGTTGCTCTGGCTGGTTTGGCTCAGCAGTTAGAGTGTCAGTCCACAGACCAATGACTGGCAGGTTCAATTCCAGTCAAGGGCACGTATCTCGAGTTGTGGTTCGTCCCCAGCCCTGGTCAGGGTTGTGCGGAGGCAACCAGTCAATGTGTCTCTCTCACACTGACGTTTCTCTCTCTCTCTCTCTCTCTCTCTCTCCCTCCCGTCCTCCTTCCCATTCTATCTGAAGATGGATGAAAAAAATATCCTTGGGAGAAGATTAAAAAATAAATAAAAAATAAAAATAAACAAGTAAATAGGGGTCGAAGACCAAATTGATCAAAATTACTGTGAAATCAAATCAAACAATTTCTATAATTTAAAAAATTAATTTCGGAGTCACAAGTGGAAGAAGATAAAATGACATATATTTATTCAATAACTACTTACTGAAAATACCATGTACAAAGAGAGGAACAAAAGATTATGTACCTTAAGAAGACTGAATTCTCACCTGTTCAATCTCTTTGGTTTTTGATGCTATTGCTTTAGAGCGACTGTTAAGCTGACTGTCTTCAAATAACTCTATGCCATCTGTTGCATTTGACTCAGGTTCTTCTGGCTGGTCAATGAACAATGGTGCTGTGGAACCTGCCTTTAAGAGGAATTAGAAATCTTTATTTGCTTTCTTAAAGGATATATAGCACTTCATTCAGAATACTTGCATATAGGTACTAACTGGCAGTTCATATCAAGAAAACATACTACGTCTAACCTGTCTTAAGAAAACACTTTTAAGATCTGGAAACAGCCCTGGCCAGTTTGGCTCAGCGGTTAGAGCGTCGGCCTGCGGTCCGGAGAGACCCGGGTTCAGTTCCCGCTAAGGGCACGTACTTCGGTTGCAGTTTGTCCCCGGCCCTAGTTGGTCGTGCGGGTGGCAGCCACTCGATGTGTCCCTTCACGTCGATGTTTCTCTCTCTCTCTCCTTCCTCTCTCTCCCTCCCACTCTATCTGTACAAAAAATGGAAAATATCCTCGGGTGAGGATTAAAAAAAATAAAAATAAAAAAAAAAATAAACCATTTCCTTGGGTGAAGATTAAAAAAAAAAAAAAAAAAAAGATCTGGAAACAGCCCAAGTGTCGAACAGTAGACAAATGGATAAAAACGCTGTGGTACATATACACAATGGAGTACTAGGCAGCTGTAAGAAAGAAAGATCTCTTATCCTTTGAGATGACATGGAGGGACCTAGAAAATATTATCCTAAGCGAAACAAGCCAAGTAGAGAAAGACAAATACCACATGATCTTACTTATTTGTAGAATACAATGAACATAACAGTTTGAGGAATAGGGTAGACCCAGAGACGTGGAAGTAGGGTATAGACTGACAACCCTCAGAAGAGGGGGTGGTCGGGGGAGGAAAGAGATAAATCACAGAACTTATATGCATGTACACATAACTGATGGACAAGAACAACAGAGCTGGGTACAGGGTGGGGGGATGAGAAGGAGAGTGTTAATGGGGAAAAAAAGAGAAACATCTGTAACAAAAATAAATTGATAAAATAGAATAAAATAAAATAAAGCATTCTGGGGGGGGGGAAACACTTTCAATTTCATTATACATAATAAGCTAATGTGAGAAGAACTGAAGAGGAAATGATTGGTAACTTTTAAATTGGTAGGTAAGACAAAGTCTCTAGACTTATTTCATTCCAGAATTATATTTCATGCTTTATTAAGACAGCCAGGGACAGGAAAAATGGCGGCGGAGTGAACGGAGCTACACAGACCGTCTCCCAGAACCAAACTGGAATTACAACTATAACACAGACAAATCAATGGGAAAAAGCAACAGAAAAGCAGCTTGGGAGGACCATATAACGAGGGACACTGACTCCATCCCGGTAGGCTTGCGAAGGCGCGAGACGGGGGCTGGGAGCCCACGGTCGGCAGCTCGGCAGCGGCCTTAGCTGGGAGCAGCGCCCTCGGGTTACACTCCCAGGCGGCCCCACAGCGCAGAGCCGGGCCAGAGGCTGAAACAGCCACAGCCACTCACCTTGGGCTCCGGCAGAGGGAGGGCAGACTGGACTGGAGCTGTGTCGGGACACTCGGGATCTGGAGGGGACTCAGAGCTTTTGCTGAGTGCAGCCACGCAGGACTGTGGCCATATTGCTCCTTCCCAGGGCTCTGAGGAGAGGCAGCAGCCCCTCCCTTGGAGATCCAACCCCACCCTGTGGGCCACTGAAGTGCTAATTGAAGCTCATTAACAACCAGCATCTGCCCCACCCTCGTGAAATCCCCTTGTGCTGAGCACCAGAGGGAGTTTTTCAATCAACTGACAACCCAAAACTCATCAAGTAACCTCGACTGCTAGCCTCCAGGCAAAAAGGAAGAGGATAACAGTACCTTTCCTGGGCTGGCAACTTTAACCAGGAAAGTAAGACTTGACAGTGGTGTTCAACGTGGGTCCTACCTCACTCATCTAAGTACAGGAGAGGGAGCCACAAACAGCAGAACACCAACACCTAAGGGAAAACTTGACAGGCTCCAAAGCCCACAGTGATAGCCAAAATGGTGAAACACAGAAACAGAAGCCAAATAAAAGAGCAAGAGACCTCCACTGAAGATGAGATCAATGTGGAGCAATTAGGCATGTTAACAGAGCTAGAATTCAAAGCCATGATCTTGAGGAAGCTGAACAGCATGAGTAAGGACATAGAGACACTGAAAATGAGCCAATTGAAAATTAAAAACCATCAAGAAGAGATAAAAAATGACATATCAGAAATGAAAAACACATTGGAAGGTTTAAAAAGCAGAGTAGAGGAAGCTGAGGACTGGATCAGTGATAGAAGACAGGGTAGAAAAAATCAACCAATCAGAAAAACAAAAGGAAAAAACTATTAAAAAACAGGAAGACAGCTTAAGAAAACTGTGGGACAACTGAAAACGTACTAATATTCGCATCATAGGAGTCCCCGAAGAAAAAGAAAAGGAGCAAGGGATAGAGAATATATTCAAAAAAATAGTGACAGAAAACTTCCCTAATTTGGTGAAGGAAGAAGGCATTCAAGTTCAAGAAGCACAGAGAGTCCCAAGTAAGAAGAACCCAAACAGGCCCACACCAAGACACATAGTAATTAAAATGCCACAAATTAAAGACAAAGAGAGAATCCTAAAAGCAGCAAGAGATAAGCAACAGGTTACCTACAAAGGAAACCCCATAAGGCTCTCAGCTGACTTCTCACAAGAAACACTACAGGCCAGAAGGGAATGGCATAAAGTAATCAAGGTCATGAAAAACAAAAATCTGAATCCAAGACTACTCTACCCAGCAAGGCTATCATTCAAAATAGAAGGTCAAATAAAGAGCTTCCCAGACAAAAAAAGGCTAAGGGAATACATTAGCACCAAACCAACACTGCAAGAAATGTTAAAAGGACTGCTGTAATTAGCAGTAGAAATGGGAAGAAAAATAGAACCACACTAAACAAAAATGGCAATAAATAAGTACATATCAATAATCACCTTAAATGTAAATGGATTGAATGCTCCCATAAAAAGACACAGAGTAACTGATTGGATAAGAAAGCATGACTCATCTATATGATGTTTACAAGAGACCCACCTCACAACAAAAGACACATAGGTTGAAAGTGAAGGGATGGAAAAAAATGTTCCAAGCAAATGGAAAGCAAAAAAAAGCTGGGGTAGCAATTCTCATATCTGATAAAATAGATTTCAAAATGAACACCATAACTAGAGACAAAGACAGCCACTACATAATATTGAAAGGATCTATCCAACAGGAAGATATAACCTTGATAAACATATATGCACCCAATATAGGAGCACCAAAATATATTAAAAATCTTCTGGAGGACTTCCAAGGAGAAATCGACAACAATACAATCATAGCAGGAGCCCTGGCCAGTCTGGATCAGCGGTTAGAGCGTCGGCCTGCGGTCTGGAGAGACCCGGGTTCGGTTCCCGCTATGGGCACATACCTTGGTTGCAGTTTGTCCCCGGCCCTGGTTGGTCGTGCGGGTGGCAGCCACTCGATGTGTCCCTTTCACGTCGATGTTTCTCTCTCTCTCTCCCTCCCACTCTATCTGTACAAAAATTGGAAAAATGTCCTCGGGTGAGGATAAAAAAAACAAACAAACAAACAAACAAAAAACAATCATAGCAGGAGACTTCAACACCCCGTTTACAGCACTGGATAGATCCTCTAGGCAAAAAATTAGCAAGGAAACAGAGACTCTAAATGAAGCACCAGACCAAATGGATTTAATAGATATCTACAGAGAATTACACCCCAAAACTACAGAATACACATTCTTCTCAAGTGCACATGGGACATTCTCAAAGATAGACCACATGATAGGACACAAACTAAATCTCTACAAGTTCAAGAAGATTGAAATCATATCAAGCATCTTCTCAGATCACAATGGCATGAAACCAGAAATTAATTGCAACAAGAACATGCAAAGATATTTCAACACATGGAGGCAAAATAGCATGTTATTAAACAATCAATGGGTCACCGAGGAGATCAAGGAAGAAATTAAAAACTTCCTGGAAACCAATGAAAATGAACACACAACAACACAAAATCTATGGGATGCAGCGAAAGCAGTTCTGAGAGGGAAGTTCATAGCACTACAGGCCTACCTCAAAAAACAAGAAAAATTTCTAATTGACTGTCTAACCTCACAACTTAAAGAATTAGAAAGCAAACAAAAAGAAAACCCCAGAGCAAGTAGAAGGAAAGAAATAGTAAAGATCAGAGCAGAAATAAATGACATAGAGACCAAAAAAACAATTCAAGGGATCAATGAAACAAAGAGCTGGTTTTTCGAAAAGATAAACAAGATTGATGGACCCTTAGCTAGACTCACCAACAAAGAGAGAGAACCCAAATACACAAAATCAGAAATGAAAGAGGAGAAGTAAAAACCAACACCACGGAAATACAAAAGATCGTTAACAACTACTATGAACAACTATATGGCAACAAATTCGACAATCTGAGCGAAATGGACAAACTTCTAGAAACACACAGTCTCCCAAAACTGGACCCGGAAGAGATAGAAAACTTGAACAGACCAATAACAACTAAGGAAATTGAAGAGGTAATCAAGACTCCCAGCAAACAAAAGCCCAGGCCCAGATGGCTTCATGGGGGAGTTTTACCGAACATTCAAAAAAGAACTAACACCCATTCTCCTCAAACTATTTCAAAAAATTCAAGAAGAAGGAAGACTTCCAAACACGTTCTATGAGGCCAGCATAATTCTAATTCCAAAACCAGAAAAAGACACTACGAAGAAAGAAAACTACAGGCCAATATCCCTGATGAACATAAACGCCAAAATCCTGAACAAAATATTAGCAAATCGGATCCAGAAATACATCAAAAAAATTATTCACCATGACCAAGTGGGATTCATTCTAGGGATGCAAGGCTGGTACAATATTTGCAAATCAATAAATGTGATACACCACATAAACAAAATGAAGAATAAAAACCACATGATCATATCAATAGATGCTGAAAAAGCATTCGACAAAATCCAGCATCCATTTCTGATAAAAATGCTCAGCAATGTGGGAATAGAGGGATCATATCTCGACATAATAAAG